GGAGTCGTGAAGCCCTTAACCAGGGCGGGATGCCCACACCGAATACCCGACGAGCCGTCGGCGTCCAGGGCCCCCAGGGCTCCCCAACAGGCGCCCCCGAAAGGCCCCCACGAAAAGGATCCCCCCAAAAGGCCTGCGGGAAGCCCCCAAAGGCACCCCGTGGAGCCCGTCGAAGGCTGCAGGAGGGGTGCCCCGCAGGGGCCCCTCTGGGGCCCCGAAGGTCCCCCCCCTCCTCCTCCTCCTCCTCCTCCTCCTCCTCCTCCTCCTCCTCCTCCCGATCCTCCTCCTCCTCCCTCTCCCTCCCTCCTCTCCCTCCTCCTCCTCCCGATCCTCCTCCCCCTCCCTCCTCCCTTTCACACGCTGGGGCGGGTTCGGCGGGACCGGGAAAATGACCACAGCCACCGCTTCTTGTTTGCGCCGCCTTCCCCTGGCATCGCTCGGACGTGTGATTTTTTTTCTCGGCGAGGACCATCGAGAAGCATCCTTGATCATTTGGCGAATCAACCACGCACGAAACCGAAAAAAAACACAGGGAATGGACGTCCGAGCGATGGCCAGCTTCCAGCCGGCCGAAAAAGAAGCAGTGGTTGTGGTCACTTCCCTGGTGCCACGCTCAACGAACATGACCACAACCACTGCTGTGTTTCTGCGGGCTGGAAGGCGGCAACAAAAGAAAAGCAGTGGCTGTGGTCGTCTTCACGCCCCGTATATTCGGCTTGTGCCTACTTCCTCCTCTGCGCGTGCGCCCTTATGTGCCAGGGCGCGTTGCGCCGGCCCGGGTTGGGCGTTTCGGCTTTGCCCTGTGGGGACTGCAAGCAATCCATGCTGCAGCGCCCGGAGAGCGCCGAGGCTGACGAACCAACTCGCGCGAGGGCTGCGTGCGGCGCAGGGCAGCCCGCGGGAGGGGCCCGCCGCCGTGGTCTCGACACCTGGCTCGCCCAGCCAGTCCTGCGCGGATTCGGCTCCGCCCCACGCCTCCGCGGTCTGGGTTCCGCCCCCCGTTTGGTTGAGAAAGTGCTGTTTGTGTGTGTGTTGTGTTTTGCGTGTTGTGTGTTGTGTTGTGTTGTGTGTTATATGTTATGTGTGTTGTGTGTTATGTGTGCTGTGCGTGTGTGTGTGCGTGTGTGTGTGTGTGTGCCTGTGTGTGTGTGTGTGTGAATGTGTGCGTGAATGTTTGTGTGTGAATGTGTGTGTGTGTGTGCGTGCGTGCGTGTGTGTGTGTGTGCGAATGCGTGTGTGCGAATGTGTGTGTGTGTCTGTGCGAATGTGTGTGTGTGCGTGTGCGCCAAAGTGTGTGTGCGTGTGCGTGTGAGTGTGCGTGTGCGCGTGCGCGTGCGTGTGCGTGTGCGTGTGCGTTTGCGTGTGTGTGGGCGCGTGCGTGTGCGTGTGCGTGTGCGTGTGCGTGTGCGTGTGCGTGTGCGTGTGCGTGGGCGTGGGCGCTGGGCGCTGGGCGCTGGGCGCTGGGCGTGGGGCGTTGGGCGGTGGGCGGTGGGCGTGGGGCGTGTGGCGTGGGGCGTGGGGCGTGGGGCGTGGGGCGTGGCGCGTGGCGCGTGGCGCGGTGCGTGTGGCGCGTGCGCGTGCGCGTGCGCGTGCGCGTGCGCGTGCGCGTGCGCGTGCGCGTGCGCGTGCGGGTGCGGGTGCGCGTGCGGGTGCGGGTTGCGTGTGCGTGTGCGGGTGCGGGTGCGGGTGCGGGTGCGCGTGCGCGTGGCGTGCGCGTGCGCGTGCGGTGCGTGTGCGTGTTGACGTGTGCGCTGTGCGGTGCGTGTGCGTGATGCCGTTGTGGTTGGGCGGTGCGAATGCGGTCACGTGCGTGTGCGGTGAGGGTGCTGGGAGCGGGTGCGTGGTGCGTGTGCATGTGTGTGCGTGTGCGTGGGTGGTGCGGGTGCGTGTGCGCGTGCGCTGTGAGGTGGTCGTGCCGTGTGCGTGTGCGTGTGCGGTGCATGTGCATGGCGTATGCGTGTGCGTGTGCGGGGGCGTGTGCGTGTGTGTGTGCGTGTGTGTGCGTGTGGCGGGTGCGGCGCGCAGTGCGCGTGCTGTGCTGCGCGGTGCGTGTGCGTGTGCGTGTACGGTGTCGTGTGGCGTGCCGTGTGCGATGTGCGTTTGTGCGTTGCGTGTGTGCGTTGTGTGTTGTGTTTGGTTGCGTGGTGTGGGGTGGCTGTGTGTGGCGATGTGTGGTGTGTGGGTGTTGTTATTGTGTGTGTGTTGTTTTTGCGTGTGTGTGTGTGTGTGCGTGTGTGCTTGTGTGTGCGTGTTGTGTGCGGCGTGCGTGAGTGTGTGCGTTATGTGTGGGTGGTGCGTGCGTGCGTGCTTGTGTGTAGCCGGGGGTGTGTGTGTGTGAGTGTGTTTGCAGTGGGTGTGTGTGTGTGTGTGTGGTGTGGTTGCGTGGGTGTGTGTGTGTATGTGCGTGGGTGTGTGGGTGTGTGTATGTGTGTGTGTGCGGTTGTGTGCGTGTGCGTGTGCGTGTGTGCGTGAATGTGCGTGTAAATGTGTGTGGGTGTGTGTGTGTGTGCGTGATGTGTGTGTGTGCGATTGTGTTTGTGTGTGTGCGCGAATGTGTGTGTGTGTGTGCGCGAATGTGTGTGTGTGTGTGTGCGAATGTGTGTGTGTGTGTGCGTGTGCGTGCGAATATATGTGTGTGTGTACGCGCGTGCGTGTGTGTGTGTGTGTGTGTGTGTGTGTTCGCGTGTGTGCGGTGCGAGTGCGTGTGCGTGTGCGTCGTGCGTGTGCGTGTGAGTGTGCGCGGGCGTGTGCGTGTGCGCGTGCGGTGTGCGGGGCGGGTGCGTGTGGTGTGCGTGGGCGTGGGCGTGGTGGGCGGTGCTTGGCTTCTGTAGTGGCTTGGCGGGGCTGTGCGTGTTGCGGTGCGTGTGCGTGTGCGTGTGCGGTGCGTTGTGTGCGTGTGCGTGTGTCTGTGTGTGTGCGTGTGCGTGTGCGTGTGCGCTTGTGCGTGTGCGCGTGCGTGTGCGTGTGCGCGTGCGTGTGCGTGTGCGCGTGCGTTTGCGTGTGCGCGTGCGTGTGCGTGTGCGTGTGCGTGTGTGTGTGTGCGTGTGCGTGTGCGTTTGCGTGTGCGTGTGTGTGTGTGTGTGTTTGTGTGCGTGTGCGTTTGTGTGCGTGTGTTTGTGTGCGTGTGTATGCATGCGTGTGTGTACTCGTGTGCGTGTGCGTGTGCGTGTGCGTGTGTGTGCGTTTGCGTGTGAAGGTGTATCCTGGCGTCTCACCGCTGCGTGAGCCGGGCTGGTGCGCGCGCTTCCTCGGCCTTCTCTACGCCGCGCCGCCGCGCGCGTGGCCGCGACGCCAACTCCTCCTTGGCGCCGCGTCTCGCACCCGCCCCCCGCCTGCTAGGCCCGCGAGCCCGGCATGCACGTGTCCAGAGCTTTGGGGCAACCGTTCACTGGGGGGGGTCCGGCGCGTCGGCTGCAGGTCGAGGCCACGCAGAGAGAGGGGTGCAACCATCCAGGAGGTTCGCCTCAGCAGGAGGGAGGGCGAGAGAGAGGAGGAAGCAAGGAGAATCATAATGGATCCGGCAGGCGGAGGAGCCGGGAGCGCAGCTTCCCCCCCCCTCCTCCTTTGTATCCTTCTCCATCTCCTCCTCCTGTTCCTGCTCCTGCTGCTGATACTCCTTCTTCCCAGACCCCCGACGTCGCGATTTCCTCAAAACGTTGCTGGCTTTTCATCCTGAGTCGTTTTCGACGCCCACGAGGCCTGGTAGGGTCCAAACCAAACAAGTTACTCGACGCGGAGATGCCCATATGTGCATTGTGCGTCTCATTATCCTGGCACGGCTCGCTGTGAACGTCTGGCTCCGAGCGTTTGGGTGCGAGAGTACGAGTGGTTGTACGCTATACCCCCATGAGGTCTTGAGCCAGCGCCTCGCTCTGAAATCAGAAGGCCCACGCCACCAGAAAAGGCAAATCGCTCGAGGCATCCCCACGGTCTGGCTGCAAGCGGGCTAGAGAGATACCTCCTGGCGGCTCCCGCGTGGGGGGGCTGAAACCCACGCATTCCAAGAGATATCGTTTCAATCTTTTCTGAAAGCAGAGATGTCTGGGGGGCAGACAAGTCCGGGCGGCAACACAAGCATGCCACCTGAGACATCCCCACAATCTGGGCGCGACGAGTGAAAGAAATACAAGAATCCCGGTCGGCTCCTCCTCGGGGTGCCCAAATGCTGCGCCTTCTTCATCGCGGTGGCCATTTGACACACGGCTCGTGCCATCCCCACCATGAGTGCAACAACCCTTGGCGGCTCCCGCTTGGGGGGCCCGAGTGCCACGCCTGCCATTTCGCTGTGATCACTGGACCACCAAAATTTCATGGGGGGGCATAGTAGGCACACCGCTGGAGACATCCCCACAGCCTGGGTGCGAAGAATGGACTGTCCCCACCCCTGGCTACTAGGGATGCCCAAGGGCCACGCCTGCATCATCGGGGGGAGCATCGGACCACCAAAGAATAGAAGCCTGGGGGGGGGGGTAAGAGGCAAAATGCTCGAGACACCTCCACAATCTTGGTGCAGAACGGAATGCCACCACTCCTTGCTCCCCAAAGGGGCCCCCCAATTGCCACGCCTGCTAGATCGCGGTGAACACTGAAGCACCAACATTTAGAAGTCTGGAGGGGAGCATGCAACCAGCTTGTGCCATCCTCACGACCCGGGCGCGAAGAATGCAATGCCCCCACCTCTGGCCGCTCCCCCTTGGGGTGCCCAAGTGCCACGCCTGCTATATCGCCGTGGGCACTGGGCCACCAATATAGAGAAGCCCGGGGGGGGGGGGGCAAAGCAAGCAAACCGCGTGAGGCATCCACACAAGCAGGGCGCGAAGAGTGAAGTGTCCCTTCCCCTGGCGGCTCCTCTTGGAGGGAGCACAGCACGCAAACCGCCTGAGATATTCCCACAAGCTGGGCGCGAATAGTGGATTGTTCCCACCTCTGGCCCCCCTCGGGGTGCCCAAGTGCCACGCGTACATCATCGCTGTGAGCATCTGACCAGCAAAAGATATGAATATGGGGCCCAACACTGGCAAACCGCCCGAGACATCCCCACAATCTGCGCAGGAACATTGAAATCCAACCGCCAACGGTCGCTCCTAATTGGGTGGGGCCGAGGGCCACGCCTGCTTTCTCCTGACAAACATTGAATCACCACAGAGAGATGTCCTAGGGGAGGGGGCGGGGTCAAAACGGGTAAACCACTGGAGACGTCCGCACAATCTGGGTGCGAAGAATAGAACGTCCCCATCCATGGCGGCTCCCCACTGGTGCGCCCAAGTGCCACGCCTGCTACATCGCCGTGGGCACCTGGGCCACCAAACGAGAGAAGGCTGGGGGGCCTCACACAGGCAGACCGTTTGAGAGATCCCAGCAATCTGGGCGCGAACGATGTAGTGTCCACACCTCTGGCCGCTCCCCCTCGGGGTGCCCAAGCGCCACGCCTGCTATATCTGAGTGCATTTCCATGGGTGCAGGTATGAGAAAGTATGAGAGTGACTCTTAACGTGATTGAGTCTGAGTTGGAGTATGTCTGAGTGTGATGGCAACGTGACGGTGCGTGTGAGTATGAGCGTGCGTCTGATATGATTGAGTCTGAGCATGATTGGGTCTGGGTATAAGAGCCTCTGGCTGGATATGAGTGTGCCAGAGAGGAGGGGAATTAACGAGGAGGCGGAGGAGGCAGGCAGGAAGATGAGGGGGAGGAGGAGGAGGAGGAGGAGGAGGAGGAGGAGGAGGAGGAGGAGGAGGAGGAGGAGAAGGAAAAGGCGGGAGTGAGAAGGCGGAGGCGTCACACGAAAAACAAGAGCCCCATCTCAGGATATGGGGAACAATAACCCCATCTTAGGATTCTGGGCTCAAGAGCATGAGCGCGTCGCAAGTCTGCGAGAGTTGGGTGTGAGTGAGTCTGACTGGGAGCAGTGTAAGTGAGTCTGAGCGTGCTTGAGTCTGGACGCGAGTGGGTCTGAGTGCGCGTGATTCTGCGTGCGAGTGAGTCTGAGTGTGAGTGCGTCTGAGGACGAATGAGTCTGAGTGTGAGTGAGTCTGAGTGTGAGTGAGTCTGAGCGTGATGTCTAAGTCTGAGTATGACTGAGTCTGAGTGCGGATGAGTCTGGGTAACCATGGCCGAGTTCGGTTGAGGACGAAGAGGATCTGGAGGAGATGTGCGCTGAGTGAGGAACCCGGAACCTCTGAGTGATAACAAGAGCTTCGTCTCAGGACATTGCGACATAGGGAAGCGCCTGCCGTCGCGCCACTTCTCCATGCGGGGGGAAGCGGGTCCTGGACCACTGGGCCTCCCTCCAGGACCAGACCTTGACCCCTGAGCCTGCTCTTGGCAGTCCCGAGGCCTTGGGAGGGCCCCCGGGCCGGAGGCCGAATCCGGCGAACGCAGCCTGCGGGATTCTTTCTCGACGCATTGGAGCCACTGAGCGCTGAGCCTCCTACAGTGGGGAATGTTCAACAATAGTCCCCAAAAAATAGTCCGGGGACGATTTGTTGAGTAGCGTTTGGTCATTGGTGGGGTATTTTTGAGTATTCTTAATTTTCCGCCCAAAGGCCCCCTGTAGGGGGACACGCCCGACCTAAGCGGAGCCCGGCCTATCGCCCAGAGCGCGCCCCCGCTGCCCACGCGGGGCGTCGGCCGCATCGTGGTCGTGGGCGCCGTCGGCGGCTTCGTCGGCGTCGTCATCGGCGTCGGCGTTGGCCGCGGCGGTCGTGGTCGGCGTCGTGGTCGGCGTCGGCGCGGGCATCGGTGGTCGGCGTCGACGTCGTGGTCAACGTCGCAGTGGCGTTGGCGGCGGAGTCGCCGTCGGCGGCGAGAGGCGCAGCGCGGCTCCCAGCAGACCTTCATCTCGTTGCTGATGGCCAGGCGGCCCCGGGCAGTGCCCTCGCACGACGCCGCCGCGGAGGCTGCAGGCGGCGGACCCCAGGAGGCCCGCCGCCGCTCGGCGTCCTGCCGCCGTGCTCTGCCTCCTCCCTCCCCCTGGTGTCCTCCTCCTCCGCCTCCTCCTCCAATTCCTCCTCCTCCTCCTCCTCCTCCTCCAAGCCCCTCCTCCTCCTCCTCCTCCTATTCCTCATCCTCCTCCTCCGCCTCCTCCTTTCTCCTCCTTCTCCTCCTCTTCCTCCTCCTCATCCGCCTCCTCCTTCTCCTCCTCCTCCTCCTCCTTCTCCTTTTCCTCCTCCTCCTCTCCTCCTCCTCCTCCTCCTCTTTTTCCTCCTCCTCCTCCTCCTCCTCCCTCCTCCCCTTTCCTCCTCCCTCTCCTCCCCCTCCTTCTTCTCCTCCTCCTCCTCCTCCTCCTCCTCCTCCTCCTCCTCCCCCTGATGGGCCCTGGAAACGACGGGGCCGTTTTGTTGAACATTATTAATTCTAAAGAATAATTATTGTTGGGGCCCCTGGTGCACGGCCCCCCTGCGCCGCCTAGGCCGCAGCTACATTTTCATCATTTTCGTGAGGAAGCCTCAGGTAATTCGATGTGATCAAGATCCGGTTGTTTTGTTCCCCCCCGCTTTCCCTTGCAAAAAACACTATAAAATGACATTTCTTGTTCTAATATAATCAAATTTCAAGAATCCCTTGCAAAAAATAAGGTAAAGTGGACATTCGCGCGCGCAAGACGAAATCCTTCCAAAACCTTAGTGTTCGAGCGATTTTAACATAAAAACATCAAAAAACCAATGGTTTTTCAACAAAAAAATGTCAAAATCTCATCCCGCGCGCTCTTGCGGATTCGTAGGAAACCCAACACTTTTTAAACATTTCTGTCAAACGGGCTTTTGCGAGCAACTTTTTCGAACTTCTGCGACAACGGTTGCGCACCTGCCAGGGCCATCATCCCTGTCAAATAATACCATGCGGGACACATTCGTTTTTTCTTCGCGCGCGCACGCCGTCGTCGTCGGCCGCGGGGCCCTGAATAGTAGCCACGGTCGTCCGCATGCCACGAAGTGAAGTGTCCGAACGTCATAGGGCGGGAAGCTGGGTGTGGGTGGTGGCGAAGAGTCGTTTGGAAATTTGGTAGAGCTTGAACCGGCCCCCCCACAAAGTGGGGGTATTGCCCGCCTCCTATGAAAACCCTGGCGCTGGTGAGAACGGAGTGTCCCCACGTGCTAGTAATTGTTGTTGTTGTTGTTGTTGTTGTTGTTGTTGTTGTTGTTGTTGTTTTTGTTGTTGCTGCTGCTGCTGCTGTTGTTGCTGTTGCTGTTGCTGATGCTGTTGTTGTTGCTGTTGCTGTTATTGTTATTGTTGGTGTTATTGTTATTGGTGTTATTGTTATTGGTGTTGTTGTTGTTGATGATGATGTTGTTGGTGCTGTTGTTGTTGCTGTTGTTGTTGTTGTTGTTGTTGTTGTTGTTGAGTCTTCATTTCTGAAGAATAATTGTTGTTGATCCCCCCCACCGGTGCATACTGTTTTTTCTCAATCACAGTGTGCCCCTCGACGCTGGCACCCTGCTTTTTGACAAAAAATCTTCCTGCTCAAACTAGGCCCCTGGCCCCCAGGTTACAACAACAACGGCTCCCGCTTGAGACTTCCTTACAATTTAGCCAGGACCCCGCTCCCGCCCGAGACTTCCTCGCAATTTATTCAGGAATCGCGCTCTCGCTTGGGACTTCCTTACAATTTATCCAGGAATCGCTCTCCCGGCGCTCTGGAGTCGCGCTCTCGCAGGAGACTTGCTTGCAACTTACTGAAGAAGGGCCTTGCGTTGGAATTTCGTGCAATTTGCCCAAGCGCCGCGCTCCCGACACCCAGGCACACAGGAGTCGCGCCCGTTGTGGCCCCATGTGCATGCCCTTCGTGGCCCCGCTGTCGCCATTTTGTGCCCCCCTCATTGTCCTACGTGGCCCAGTTGCTACCCCCAGTGGCCCCATAGTTGCTTTCTGTGGCCCCGCATTATCTGCACTTCGTGGCCCCCGCTCGTTCGCGCTCTTCGTGGTCCCATACGCATTCCCTTCGTGTCCCCGCTGTCGCCCGTCGTGGCCTACTTCGTGCCCTTCGTGGCCCTGCTGTCGTTCTCTCTCGCTCTCGCTTTCGCTCGCCGTCGCCGTCGTCGTCGTCGTCGTCGCCGTCGTCTTCGACGTCGTCTTCGTCGTCGTCGTCGTGGTCGGTCCCCTGTCCGTCCCTCTTGGGGTCGGGTCGACGGTCCGCGGCCGCCCCGCCGATCAGCGCTGCCGCTGGCCAGGCCGACGGTCCGCGGCCGCCCCGCCGCTTGCCGGGGCCCGGCCTGCAGGGAAGAAAGGTATACCCCCCAAAAGGGGTTCGATCGAAGACGAAGAGGGCGGGTATCGAGGGTTTGGGAAATACGCGTTATTGGACACTCGTGCATATACGGGCGATCAGTATTAAAATGATTGTTGTTGTTGCTGTTGTTGTTGGTGTTGTTGTTGTCGTTGTTGTTGTTGTTGTTGTTGTTGTTGTTGCTGTTGTTGCTGTTGGTGGTGGTGCTCACGTGCGGCAGGTTCGCGTCGTGTCGGCCGGCGGCGACCCTGCCGATTGCGTGAAGCGTTGGACGTTGCCAGCGACTCAGAATCGGTCGATGTTGTACGATCTGACCTTCGAAGACGACAAAGCCACATTATCCCAGTGCGACCCTACCTAGGAGTTGGAGCCCCTGGGAAAGCAGCATAAGTAGTAACAGTAAAGCTAAGCTGAAGCTCAGATAAAGCTCAGCTAAAGCTCAGCTAAAGCTAAGCTAAGGCTAAGCTAAAGCAGCCGCCCGGGGCGGGTTGCACTGCCCGGCCCCTTTAAGCTACAGAGTAAGAACCCTTCGACGCAGAGCCTAGGTAGGGAATAAACATAAACTTGTTGCGCTCCTCGCGAATTTCATGGATCCGCGCCTGGGCCCCCCCGGCGGCGCCTCTGGGTCCAGCGCGAATCCAAGAAGTCTGCGCGGAGCGCCAAAAGTTTAGCTTTGTGTGGATGTTTCGTCTCTTAGATCCAGCGTTTCGGAGACGTCCAGCCGTTCAAGGTTGAGCGATCCCGGCGGTGTCCGAAACCAGCGCTGAGGTCGGCACAACACGACCTGCCGTGCCGCAGCGGGGGTTTTAGCGCCAGCGGGGGCCAGCCAGTCCGCTCCGAGAGCCGCTGGCTGACCTGGGCTGCGGGAGGGGGGGCCGCCCGGAAACCCGACCCCGTGCCCCCCTGGCTCTCCGCGGACCCGGGGTTCGGGGGAGCTGCTTCGTGGCCGGCTGGGTTTAAGTCAGGCCTGTTCCTTTACAGGGGGGGATATCCAAAAATAGTAAAACAAAAATAGTATGGGGACTATTTTTTTGCATTTTTTTAACATTTGGTTTGCGTACTTGTTGAGTATGTTTTATTTTTCGCCCAAAATCCCCCTGTAGGGGGACACGCCCGCCTTAAGGCTAGGTATGTTCAGCAACGTGGCCCGGGTTTGCGCTGGCCGGGGCTCGTGCGTCCTAGGGATCGGAATGTGGTATCGTTTCACCAGTCCCCATCCCCATCCCCTTCCCCTTCGAGACCCCAACCAAATTACCACCCCAGTTGGGGATACACCCCTCGAAACCCGAAGGAAACAAGCTATATCCCCATCTAGGGGGGTAAATCGGCCAGTGGGGCCCAGGGCATGCCGCTGGGGATGGGGATCGGTTAAACGATACTCAGGAAAAGATACGGCGACGGAGCCTGGAAGCATCGGAGCAGGAACCCGCAACACAGATCGCAAGACGGAGCCGGTATCGAAACATGCCCTGTCGTTTCCAGGGCCCACCAAGTTCATCCCTCCTCCCTTCGCCTCGTTCCTCCTTCCTCCCTCTTCCGTCCCCGTCCCTCCTGCTCCCTCCTCCCTCGTGCTTGCTCCCTCCTCCTTCCCGCCTTCATCCCTTCCCGAAGAAGGACGGTCGGGTCGGACGAGAGGAGATCAAGGAAGGGGGGCACGAACTGTGCTGCGTGCAGCTGTTTTGGGGCCCCGACGTTGGGCGCCGTCCCCGATACAACGGCGCCTCCAGTGCCGGGAGGCGCCGGAAGGCCAGCTGCGTGCGCCGATTCGCTAACCCTCCCTGTACGACCCTCCCCTACATCCGACCCGAGAGGGACGGCAGAAGCATCAGTTGTGTGAAGTTCGCGCGGGTTTCTTGGGTCCGAGCGCGCCAGGAAGGGAGATCCAGTGCCGATCCAAGAAGTCTGCGCGGACGTTCGACAGTTTACGTTGACATGCTCTGTCCCCGATGTATCTTGCACTTCCCCGAGCTCATTGTTCCCCTCCTGCCTGCCTCCCTTCATGGACAAGCTTTTCCTCCTGAGCCGTTTTCTGAGGGTCTGGGGACCCGTGAATGACAGAGGGAAACCAATGAAACCAGGATTTGCGAAACATTTCTTTTCAAAGAGCCCTTTCTCCAGGACCCGTTTGTGTTCTATCAATGTTGCGCACCCTGGCGAGGTCGATCCGCGGACGATGTGTATGCACCGTACCGCGATGGCGTCTCCCGAGGCGTTCTCGACCTTCGACCCAGGAATGGCACGGTGCATCGTCTGTCGGCCTTTTTGGAGCCAGGAAGCTCTGCACCGCACCGCGTCGGAGCGAGATCTAACGGGAACTCGAACGTGGTGCGCTGCAGCAACGCCATTCTCGTCGCCGAGCCGACGTGGCTTCGGTGTCGTGCCGATGTGGCCCGGTGAATCGTCTGTCGGAATGTAGAGCCAGGAAGCTCTGCACCGTATACCGCGTCGGAGCGAGGGCTGACGGGAGCTCCGACGTGGGCGCGGGGAGGTCCGCTGGGAACTTCGAGGTCACCGCTCCTCGCTCCTCGTCGCTCCTCCTCCTCCTCCTCGCTCCTCCTCCTCCTCGCTCCTCCTCCTCCTCCTCCTCGCTCCTCCTCCTCGCTCCTCCTCCTCCTCCTCCTCCCCCTCCTCCTCCTCCCCCTCCTCCTCCTCCCCCTCCTCCTCCTCCTCATCCTCCCCCGTGGTGCGCTGCAGGAGCGCCGCTCTCGTCGCCGCCGAGCCCACGCGGCTTCGCTGTCGTGCCGACGTGCGGCCCGATCCGCCGCACCCTGCGGGGCTCGACCCGGCTCCCCGATGCGGCGCCGACTGCGCCTGCCCTGCTGCTGCTTTCTACTCTTAAGTCGGGCCTGTCCCCCTTACAGGGGGAATTTCGACGAACAAAAAGAACAAAGATAGTCAAACAATAGTCCAAAAATAGTCTGGGGACTAGTTTTAAAATATTTGCTTGACAGGTTGGGGATCTTGTTTGGGGCATTTTTTTGCGACGAAAAAATAAAAAAAAAACTACCCGAACAATAAGCAAAAACTAATCCAAAAATAGTCGGGAATTTTTGTTGAGTATGTTTTTGCCTTTTTTGGGTGCATTTCTGGGGTATTGTTTATTTTTCGCCCAAAATCCCCCTGTAGGGGGACACGCCCGACTTACTCCTGCTCCCGCTGCGCGCGCGGAGGCGGCGGCGGCAGACGCCGGCGGCGCCGCGCAGGCGCGCGGCGGGAAAACGGACGGCAAGGAGGGGGAGAGGGGGGAGGCAGGAGGGCGGGGGCACAGAGGGGAGAAGGTCGGACGGGGCTGGGACGAGGATATAATGCGCTCCAGAGCTTTTTGGGACGTTCTCAGAGCATTCGGGAACGCTCCGCGCAGGCCGCGGCGCCGATACATCTCCCAGAGCCGCAAGGTTTCAGAGATTCTCGATGCATCCCCACCTGGATGTATCTTCGGCCTGGCTTCGTCTTAAAAGGTGGCAGTGGAGGGGAGGGCGGGGGGAGGGGTCCCCCGAAAGTGGGACGAATTACATCCATCTGGGACGGATTCTAGCCACTTTGATCCCAATCCGAACCAGCTGGGACCAATTACAACCTACGCTTAATATTTTTCAGAGGTTTTTGGGTGGTTTCTTCGAAGTTCCAAATGGGGGCTCCTTGGAGGCTCCTTAGAGGCTCCTTGGAGGCTTCTTGAGGTTCCTTGGAGGCTCTTTGGAGGCGCCTTAGACTTCAGAGGCTCCCTGGAGGCTTCTTGGAGGCTCTACGGAGGCTCCTTAGAGCGAAGAGGATCCATGGATGTTGCCTAGAGGCTGCTTAGAGGTTTCTCTGGAGGCTCCTGGGAGGCTTCTTCGAGGCTCCTTATAGGCTTCCTTGGAGGCTTCTTCGAGGCTCCTTAGAGGTTTCCTTGGAGGCTACATAGAACCTTCGAGGCTCTTTAGAGGCTCGTTGGAGGTTCCTTAGAGGCTCTTCAAAGGTTTCCTTGGAGGCTCCTTAGAGGCTCCTGGGGGGCTCCTTGGAGGCTCCGTAGTGGCTGTTTAAAGGTTTCCTTAGAGGCCCCGTCGAGATTCCTTAAGGTTTCCGAACCCATGGGGGTGGGAGAGGGGGGGGCGAACGGCCACTTGGCCCAGCACCTCCGCCGCCGAATCGTTCGGTCACCACCTCCTTTCGTGTGGGTGCGGGGTCTCCCAAACAGTCGAGGGCCATTCTTCCGATGGAAGCGTTTCGCGCCCTCGGGGGTTTGGGGGGATTGAACCCATGGGGACACGGTTGCCGATCGAGTCGCCCTGCCCCCCGCCGCCGCCGCCGAGTCGTTCGGCCCCCGCTGCCTCTCCCGCGGTCGCGGGGCCACCCGGGCCCCCGAGGGCGACTCTTCCAATGGAAGCGTTTCATGCCCTCGGGGGCTCCTGGAGCCCCCGAAACCATGGCGGGGGGGGAAGGGTGGCCGAACAATTCGCTTTGACCTCCGCCGCCGCCGCCGAGTCGTCCGGCACCCGCCTCCTTTCCTGCGGGCGCGGGAGTTCCCCTGGCTCCGAGGGCGACGCGTCCAATGGAAGCGCCTCGTGCCTTCGGGGTTCGGGAGACCCCTGAAGCCGCGGGGGGGGGAGAGCTTTGCGGAACGAGTCGCCCTGCCCCCCGCTGCCGCCGCCGCCGCCGAGTCGTCCGGTCCCCGCCCCCTTTCTTGAGGGCGCGAGATCCCCGAACCCCCATGGGCGACGCTTCCGATGGGCGCGCCTTGCGCCTTCCGAGGTTCAGGGGGGGTCCGAACCCATGGGGAGGGAGAGCGTGGCCGAACGATGCAGTTTGCCCTCCGCCGCCGCTGCCGAGCCCAAGCCCCCGATTCCTCTCCCGCGGGCGCGGGTCTCTCCAGTTTCCGAGGGCGACGTATCCAAAAGAAGCGTCTCGCGCCTTCGGGGCTTCGGTGACCCCCGGAACCATGGGGGTGGGAGAGGGGGGGGGGGGGCAAACGGACACCCCCATGCCTCTGGGCTCTCTTCTTGAGACTTCCCTACCTCACGATTTCTCGCCCAAAACCGACCAACGCAGCCGCCGCCGAATCGTTTGGTCATTGCTTCGTTTATTGTGGGCGCGGGATCTCCCAAACACCCGAGGGCGACTCTTCCGAAGGAAGCGTTTCGCGCCCTCGGGGGTTCGGGGGACTGAACCCATGGGGATGTGGTGGCCGATTGAGTCGACCCGCACCGTGCAGACCGCCGCCGAGTCGTTCGGCCCCCGCTGCCGTTCCTGCGGGCGCGGGGTCCCCCCGGGCCCCCGAGGGTGACTCTTCCAATGGAAGCGCTTCATGCCCTCGAGGGCCTTGGGGGCCCCCAATACCAGGGGGGCAGAGCGTGGCCGAGTCATTCAATTTGCCCTCTGCCGCCGCCGCCGAGCCGTTCGGCCCGCGCCTCCTCTCCTGCGGGCGCGGGAGCTCCACTGGCTCCGAGGGCGACGCGTCCAATGGAAGCGCCTCGTGCCCTCGGGGGTTCGGGAGACCCCCCGGACCCTCGGGGGGGGGGGGAGCGTGGCCGAGCGAGTCGCCTTGCCCCCCGCCGCCGCCGCCGAGTCGTTTTTCGGCCTTGCTCGGCCCTGCTCGGCGAGAGGCAGTCGGGGAGTGTCTTCGACCACGCCCACCTGTCTTAGCCGATCTCGAAAATGTCGAGCCACGCCGCACCTCCTGGGACCAGGAAGAACAGGACAAGGAGGAGGAAGAAGAAGAAGAAGAAGAGGAGGAGGAGGGGGGGGAAGAGGAGGAGGAGGCAGATAAGGAGGAGAAGGAACACTAGGAAAACGAGGGGGAGGAGGGGAGGAGGAGGAGGGAGGAGGAGGAGGAGGAGGAGGAGGAGGAGGAGGGAGATGAATCACAGAGAAGCAGGAAGGGGAAAAACGACCAGGAATACGAGGAATGCGGCAGAAGGTAGATAAGGAGGAGGAGGAGGAGGAGGAGGAGGAGGAGGAGGAGGAGGAGGAGGAGAAGGAGGAAAAAGAAGAGGAGGAGGAGGAGGGAAACTGCAGGAAGGGAGGAGGGAACTTACGGCCGATGCAAACGAGGATAATGATACTTCGGTTTTCGGAATCCGTGTTTGTGGGAGGTGTGTGTGGGTACAGTCAAAAACCTAATAAGGACGCGCGACTTTGCTCAGGGTACCCTTGCGTCCTTGGTCTTCCTTGCTCTTGCGGCTCGTCCTTGGCCTCTTTCGCTTGCCCGCATGGCGAAAAATCCAAATTTTGGCTTCCAAGGGTCTTGCGTCCTTACCGCGCGTCCTTAGTAGGGTTTTTGATTGTATGTGCTATGAATGTATGATGTTGTGGTGGATGCCTGTCGTTGTTATGGAGTGGCCGGTGTTAATGTTGCAAAGCAACAAAGTTCCCATATCATGAAACGGTACCAATTCCAACGGGGACACCCATGCTGACCTCCATAATGAATGTGCACCCTGAAGGCGATTATTTTGTGCTTTGCTGTACACCATGGAATCCCATTGTAAGCCCGAAGCGGCTGGTTGTAATTGGTACCAGTTGGTTTTCTAGCCGGTTGAGACGTGTCCCAGTCGGTCGTAATTGGTCCCAGTCGGTTGAGATTGGTCCTGCATTCGGGTCCCCCTCCCTTCTGCCCCCATGCCCCCTCTCCGTGCTTGGCCCGCCCCTTGGCCCACCTCCCCCTCGTCCTCTGGGAGGGGGTCGGGGAGGAGGAGGGGGAGGGTAGGACGAGGAGGGGGAAGAAGAGGAAAAGGGGGAAGAACAGGAGGAGGAAGAAAAGGAGGAGGGGGAGGGAGACGACGAGGGGGAGGTGGACCAGTGGGCGGGCCGAGGCCGAGGACGGGGAGGGGGGAGGGGGGGGGAGAGAGGAGGGAGAGGGGAGAGGGGGCGAGGAGACGAGGCCCTCCCCCTTCAGCCTCCGCCTCCGCCTCCGCCTCGGCCCCTCCCCCCCCCGAGCCAGGCGGGTCACGCGGCAGCCCCCGAGGCGGCCGCCTCGTCGCCCCGTGCCCCCGCGGGCGGGCAGGCCACCGTGGCGGCGGCCGGGGAGGCGCGCGGCGGCGCGGCGCCCTCCTAGTCACGGGGGGCCACGCTGGGACGGGCGCCTGCTCCTCCGCGGGCTCCTATCCCTGCTCCTCTCCTCCCCGTCGCCGTCCCCTTCTGGGCTCGCACCGCGCCTCCTGCAACGGAGGCCCACGCCAAGAGGCACCCTGCTCGCAGGGTGCCCCGGATTTCGATGGTTCTGCGACGGGAAGCGTGACGCTCCCGCACCGAGAATCAATGGACGTCCCAGGGTCTCCTGTTCGGGCTTCTTGTGGTCGAGCTCCCACTGCAGGCTCAAAGGGGAGAATCGAGGATAAGAAGAGCTCGGGGGAGGGGGAGAGCAGGGGGTGACTTTACCCATCCCGCGTTCGCTTCCAAGCAGAACCAAGTCACACCAAGTATCGCCTCGTGACGCAGTCGGACCGTTGGAGGCCCCAGTTGCGCAGCCCGCATGCATTCCAGCCACCCATGTCGGCACACCCCTCGTGGCCCCATAGGGAGCATCACCGAAGGCCCCGGTGGCGCAGCCCGCATGCGTTCCAGCCGTTCATGCTGGCACACCGCTGACACGGTCCGTGGCCCCGTAGGGAGCTCCACCGAAGGCCCCAGCGGTGCAGCCCGCATGCGTCACAGCCGCACATTTCGGCACACACACACCTCTCACACGCTTCGTGGCCCCATAGGGACTACGGCCCCGTTGACAGCGCCCGCATGGCGGCACCGCTTTACTTTGACACACCCTTCACCTCGTGGCCCCAGCAGGCGATCCACCGAGGGCGATGATCACAACGACGTTACTCACAACTGCATATGGTTGGGTCTTTCGCCAGGCTAATTTTTAATGATGGATGCGGGGGCCGGAGGGGACGAAACTGAGTGACAGTGCCGGGCTTCAAACATACGTAGCACCCCGCAGTTGCGGAAAAGAGTGAGGGGGTGGCGAGGACGTCGGCAGTCTGCGAGGCTCTGAAGAAGCCCGCCGCAGGCGCCAAGGTTGAACAAAGTATGCAGTGAGCCCCCTGCAGGCGCCGTTTCTATCGTTAAAGCAATGTGGGGTGGTCGCAGGGTGGGGCGCGGGTGCGTCGCGGGTGGGTCGCAGGTGGGTTGCGGGCCGGGTCGCGGGTGGGTTGCGGGGCGGGTCGCAGGGTGGGTCGCGGGGCGGGTCGCGGGGTGGGTCGCGGGTGGGCGCGGGGTGGGTCGCGGGTGGGTCGCGGGGCGGGTCGCGGGGTGGGTCGCGGGTGGGTCGCGGGTGGGTCGCGGAGTGGGTCTTGGGTGGGTCGCGGGTGGGTCGCGGGTGCAGCGGTCGCGTGGTGGGTCGCGGGTGTGTCGCGGGCCGGGTCGCGGGCCAGGTCGCGGGCCGTGTCGCGGGGGGGACGACGCGAAACAACAGCAACAACAATAACAACAACATTTACAACAGCAACAACAACAGCAGCAACAACAACAGCAATAGCAGCAACAACAACACACATTTCAATATTGTTCGCTTTGACTGTCACGCGTGTCTTGCATTCTGTATACCCCAACATTTGATACCCGGCCGATTCGTCTTCGCTCGCACCTCCTTTCGGGAGGGATACCTCCCTTGTCGGCCACTGACTGAAGTGCGAGAAACTCTCGAGCAAGAGCGCCGTTCCTGAGTTCGGGGGCCTCTCTGGCCAGGGGCTCTCGGAATACATATGGAGAAATCTCGAACGAGAACCCTTGTCGCCGTGCTTGGGCCTCCACGAACTTGCCGGAATTACGAGAATTTCTCGAGCGAGAGCGTCACTTTTGAGTTCGGGGGCCTCTCTGGCCAGGGCCTCTGGGAATACACATAGAGGAAGTATGAAACGAAAGCCCTTGTCGTCGTAGTTGGGCCTCCACCAATTTGATTGAACCGCGAGAAAGTCTCGAGCGCGAGCGCCGTTGCTGAGTTTGGGGGCCTTCCTGGCCAGAGGCTCTCGGAGTCAACCGTGAGGAAGTATCGGGCAGGAGCCCTTGTCGTCGTGGCTGGTCCTCCGCCAACTTGAGTGGATTGCGAGGAAGTCTCGAGCGGGAGCGCCGTTCCTGAGCTCAGGGGCCTCTCTGTGCAGGGTGTCTCGGGGTAAATATGTCGGGAAATATCGAGCGGGAGCCGTTGTCTTTGTAATGGAGGATGACGGTTAATAAATGACCGGGGGTCGTGTTCACGCGGCGGCGCCCGGGATGACGATTAGAAAAAACCGGCCGCGGGCTGGAAAACTATTCTTTTTAATCGTTCTCCTCCAGTCAGAAGCTTATGCAGAAACAACAGAGAACTATTCTGTTGTTTTAATCGTTCTCTCCCCTATTTGTTATTAATCGCCATCCCGCAGTAGCCGGGCCTCCAGGGGCACACATTTACATGCAAGCCCGCGCTCGGGCGGGAGGCTCGTTCTCATAGGAATTGCCGCCGGCGTCGCGGCGAAAGCACGCGAAGCCGCTTTCAGAGACCAGCAATACTCATGTCCTAGAAAGCTGTAGTCAACAATATCAGCAACGCCAACAACAACAACAACAACAACAACAGCAGCAGCAACAACACGACCACCAACAACAGCAACAGCAACAATCAACACTCAACCATCAACAATCAACACTCAATAATCAACAACGAACAAACAACACACAACAGCCACACAAACAGCACCACCAACAAAAACAACAACAGCAGCAGCAACAACAACAACAAAAACAACACCAACCGCAACACCACCACCAACGACAACAGTAACAACAACAGCAATCCGCATCGCGGAAGCCCACTTCAGCCACCCACCCAGGGACGGTGAATGACCGCTCGGCCTCATCACTCTGATCAGATCGTCGGAGACATGGGACCCCTCCCCAGATTCTGGTGTCGTGATGTCTTCGCAATGTGGGCACCAGAATGTATCAACATACCCCCAGGGCGCGGCTTTTCACCCCGACCAGTTTCTGTGGGCGTTCCTGGGGGCCCCTGCATGGCCCCCACAGGCCGGAAACATCCCCCCCCGTCGAGATGCTGTTCACGACGCGGGCATGTCTCAGCCTCCTGCGCGAGGGGGCAGGGTGGCGACGACGACGACGACGACGACGACGACGACGACGACGACGACGACGACCCGTGGGCTGGCGCTCGATGGCCCCCGCCCCGTCCCTGGAGCGCGACCCGGCAGGGCGCGGCCGCTCCTCCGGGCGCGGTGGCCCGGGCGGAGGAGCCCGAGGACCGCGCGGCCCGCGCGGTGGCCAGGCCTCGGCGGGGCGGCGGGAGAGGCAGGGCTCGGAAAAGAGGGGGGTGATGACAAGGGGGGGGGATTTCATGGCGCGGGCCATGATTTTTCCCCAGATGTCATGGCGCCTCTTCTTATTTCATTGCGTCCCAGGCCCCCCCGCTGGGCCGCGCACATGCGGCCGGTCATGATTTGCACCCCCCCCCTCTTGGACACTCCCCTTTTTGGCCGCTCCCGAGAGGCAGGGCTCGTGTTTCAGCACGTCTCACAGGCGGCCCGGAGTCCGGAGTAGTGGGTCCCAGAGCGTGAATTGCTTACCCCGCTTTCGCTTCCAGGCAGAGCCAAGTCATGCCACGCGCCTCCGCGGCCCGACCTGTGCGGGCCGTGATTTGGCACCGCTCGGTATCCCTTGGACACGGGTGGTCAAGAGCGAGGCAGGTTCGTTTGCCTCCCAGGGTCGACCCCGCCAAGTCGAGGGTGCTCTCGTGTCCCGTGCATCGCGCGTCGTGTCCTCTGCATCCTTGCGTCCTGTGGTTTCCGCGGGTGTCGGCGGCTTGGCCCGCCGCGTTCTGGGCGCGTCGCGGCCTCGGCAGGGTACCCTTGTGTCCTGTGGTTTGGGAGGCCATGTTGCCGTCGGAAGGGTATTGTGTCCTGTCGCGCGTCGTGTGCGCAATGTTCTGCCTATCCGACCCCCATCCCCAGCCTCACCCCCTTCGAGACCCCCACCAAATATCCACCCCAGTTGGGGGTACACCCCTCGAAGCCCGCAGGGAGCGGCCCAGATCCCCATCTAGGAGGGGTAAATCGGCCAGTGGGGCCCAGGCCACGCCGCTGGGGATGGGGATCGGTTCAACGATATTCAGCTTCAGGATATTATAACATACTGTTAGCCTTGATCACCAGACAGACTGTCGAGCACCAAGGACGCACCAAACAATTCAGGGTTTTCACGTGTGGGGCCCTGGGAGGCGACTTTCGTTCGGCATTGTTTCGATAGTCATCTGGGTGCTCGTTATTCCTGGGATGTGGTCCTTAAGTACGATGGGAGCAACGTAGGGCTCGTTTCGAGTCTTCCGATTCGGTTCGATGCGATCTTGACGGGTTTCGATTCCGATCGGATTCGGCTTGGGATTCCGATTTGGGCTCCGATCTCTCTGAGTGGAGGCCTATACTGGCCTGCCGATGCCCGCCGATTCGGCAAGTTCTCCGCCGATCCGAGTCGTGTCGATCGCCGATCCGCCTTGTCGATTCGATTCTATAGAATTACGCTTCATCCGCCGACCCCTCTATCAACTGCTGCGCGTCCAGGACTGTATTCCACGAGGCCTGCCCGATTCCTGGCAGGTTCTTGGGGGCGCTTGGGGGCCCTGTTCGGGCTCCCTCTGGGGGCTTCTTGGGGCGCGTTGTCGTCGAGTCGATGCTGGGCTCTCCCAGGCGTCGTCGCCGTCGAACGATGGGAATGGCGGTGCGCCGTCCTCAACTCAACTGGCACTCATTTATACCTGCTATACACAATGCAACAGCAGCCAAATAAGAGAGGCAAAATCACAAGGTCACAAGATCAACGAAGGAGTGCCTCGCGCCAGGCTTTCGTGGGCCCCGGAAACGGCAGGGCCGTTTTTCCACCCTTTCCCAAAAAATGTCCCTTGAAAATGGAAACGGCCAAAAAACGGCGACCGGAAACGGCAACAAAAACAGCTCCAGGATTGGACCGGAGCCGGAACTGGTCAAAAAACGGCGACGGAACCAGTAAAAAAACGGCGTCGGAACCGGCAAAAAAACGGCAAAACGGAACCGGTAAAAGAACGGCCCTGTCGTTTCCAGGGCCCGCTAAGCGCCAGGCCACCTGAACCGAATCGGCGAAGGGGCCTGCCGGGCTCTCCTGGGCGAGGCAGGGGAGGGGGTAAAACATGGCTAGGATCGGGATAAATCGCTCCAGAGCGTTCCGGAGCGCTCTCAGAGCGTTCCGGAACGCTCTGGAGCGGCCGCGGCGCCCAATACACCCTCCCAGCCCGCCGATTCTCAGAGATTTCGAGTTATCCCGATCCGATTTTGTCCCGATCTTCGCGTCGTTTTAGGGGGGGGGGAGCGGCGCGTCTGCTCGAGCCCGTGGCTCGCCCCCTGCGCGCGCCTGGGGGCGCGCGCCGCCGCGGCCGCGGCGGGCGGGCTGGCGGCCGGCGGCGCGGGGCGGTCGCGGAGCGCGACCACCACAAGTTGGGGGGAGCAGGGGGATGAGGAGGAGGAGGAGGAGGAGGAGGAGGAGGAGGAGGAGGAGGAGGAGGAGGAGGAGGAGGAGGAGGAGGGGGAGGAGGAGGAGGAGGAGGAGGAGGAGGAGGAGGAGGAGGAGGAGGAGGAGGAGTAGGACGAGGAGGAGGGGGAGGAGGAGGAGGAGGAGGAAGAGAAGGAGGGGGAGGGGGAGGGGGAGGAGCCGTCTTCGCTGGCCGAGGGGGGATGCGGGGGGGGGAGCGGGGGAGGTGGAGGGGGGATAGGGCTCAGGCCGAGAGCGAGCGGTCGATTCTGTCCGACAGCGCGCCTCTGAACTGCGGTGCCCGACGGCCTGCTTGCCAGCCGCGCTTCCGTGCGAGGGGGAGGGCGCACCACGGCTTCCCCACCGCGCGTGCAAGCCGCGGCGCACACGGGGGGCCGCGGCAGGCCCGACGGCCCAAGCGAGGCCAAGGTGGCCAGGCCCAAAGGAGGCGTCTCAGGCACGGCCCTGCCCTCGATGGTCGAGGGAGGTGCCATCTCTTCCGCCGCGGAAGGCGGCGGAAGGTCGGCGGAAGTACAACGAGGCCGCCTCCGCAGGCGGAAGCCGGCGGAAGGGCGGCGGAAGGTGGCGGAAGTAAAAAGTGCATCCCCAAGAGATGAAACCATGTTTGGACTCAGGGTTTCCGAAATCCGCCAAATGCTTGGCAAGGCTGGTGGCGAACTCTACGATGCGCTTCAGCGCGTCGTTGTCCGAGGAGCTCGGGGCGTGGCCGAGCTGAACCCCGGGCTCGTCAAGGGGCGCAGAGGTTGCCAGGGGCCGTGCCCAGCCGCGCTGCCAGCTCGGCCACCTGCTCCTTCACGTCAGCCGCAACTCGCGGCGCACGCCCGTGGACGCCACGACCATTGACAGCTGCATTGGCCTCCTGCCCCGAAACTGGGCCCGGGCCCGCCACGCCAGCAGCGCCTCCACCACGATCACTAAGGCCACCCCGAAGATGCGCACCATCGCGAAGCCGCGGATGGGCCATGACAGGCAGATCGTCCCCCCAAGGAGTCGTCGGGCAGCTCATCGTGCGTCGCCCTCCCCGGTCCCCTCAATCATCGTAGGAGTCTCCACGTCAGCACCCGCCCTCCTGCGCCTCGCGCGACGGCGGCGCCACCTGTGTGCGGGGCCGCCACCACCACCGCCGGGGTGGCCGCCGCTGGGGCAGCAGGCTGTCGCCGCTCGGCCCGACAAGGCCTGCAGCTCGGCAACCGCCACGGCGCAGGCCAAGCTCGCCGCAGTCCGCCGATGGACCCCGAAATGCCCGCCGCCCTGTGCGCAGTCAGCGCCACACCAAGAGCAGACGCCAGCGCGTTGGCCAGCGCACGGCGCTGGACGGAAGCCACCGACATCTGAGGCCTCGGGCGCGAAGCCGACGATCGGGAGCCCTGCGACACGAGACGTGAGTTAAACGGTTTTACAAGGGGATTGATGGGGTGAGACGGGGACCCAGGCCCGGAAGGTTACCAAGGGAGGGGTGAGCAGATGTTCAGAAGGAGGAGGAGGAGGAGGAGGAGGAGGAGGAGGAGGAGGAGGAGGAGGAGCAGGAGCAGGAGCAGGAGCAGGAGCAGGAGCAGGAGCAGGAGCAGGAGCAGGAGCAGGAGCAGGAGCAGTGGACGCCATGTCCAGGCCTATTCGACTAACTCAGGCCCCCCCGGCCCCAGGGACTTCCGAGGTCCCTCCTGTGAGGACCCGTTGAGTTTCGACGACAGCTTTCGGGGCCCCACGGTGGCTGGGGCAGATGCCCTGCCGAATTCGTGCCCTGCCGATTTCGCGAGGAGAAGGAGGAGAAGGAGGAGGAGGAGGAGAAGAAGAAGAAGGAGAGATGAGAAAATGAGGAGGAGGAGTAGGAGGAGGAGAAGGAGGAGGAGGAGGAGGAGGCGGAGAAGCAGGAGGCGTAGGTGGAGGAGGAGGTTCAGGAGGACGAGGAGGTGGAGTGGGGTTTAGAAAGAGGGGGAGGATGGAGGGGAGACAGTAGGCGGGGGAGGAGGAAGACGGGAGCAGCAGTGGCGGAAAGGTGCCCCCCATCCTCAGCCTAGGAGCCGGCGAGCGACGGCGAGGAGTGCGCCGGCGGCCAAGAGGACGTCGCACGTCGCCATCGTCGTCGACGCCGTCGTAGTCGTTGTCGTCGCTGTTGTGCGGCGGCTGCCGCGGAGAAACAGCTGCTTTCCATTCTTGGCGGGGCCCCAGCCTGGTGATAAGGCGTTGCCAAAAAATGAGTGTCCAACTATGGGGGGAGGTTCGACAGACCTATCGCGGTTATGTCACAGAATCGTCGTCGTCCGCATCGTTCTGGGGAGGGGATGGGATCAGAGGGGGAAGAGGTACCTATACCGCTAGCCTGACCCCGTTTTCCCCTTTTTTGGCCTCATGGGATGTCCTCGTCGCCACCGCTGTATTCGCCTCGACATTCTGATCCGAACGCATCCCGGGAGAGGTCCAGGTAGTAGCGGTATCGGTACCTTTTGGTTTCCCATGGGGGTCAACAGGAAGATTAGACAAGGCGCCCGCGGTAAACCGGCAACCTTGGCTACCGCCGGGGAGCTCGTAGGGCTTCTTGCCTCCGTCACATTCAAATGCTTAATTGTTTCCGTCTTCAGTGGTCCAGGTTGACGCAATGCCTCTACATAATTTCGCTCCACGTCGAGGGAGGGGAACTCGAGAAGGAGGACGCGGATGTTTCTAAGGAGGACGGCGATCGAGAAGGAGGGGGACGAGGAAGAGGAAGAGGATGAGAGAGGAGCAGGAGGATCCAGAAAGCAGGATGGGAAGGATGACATGGGAAGGGGAATACTAATTGTGTCCGTTAGAGGATGATAGTGTGGAGCAGGCGGGTAATCAATGATCTGGGTTGAATTGCTTCTATTGGTCTGTAGGGTGGCTTAGCTATGAAGCTTGGGGAGGATGGAGGGGAGGAGGAATGGGGCTAGGAATTGGAAGAGATGGATAGGAAGGAAGAGGAGGAGAACCCTCAGCAGGGATAACGAGGAAGACATGTACGAGAAGATGTAATATGGAGGATGATAATATGGGAAAGAGGAAGAGGAACAGTACGAGGAGAAGGATGGGGAGGAAGATGAGAAGGACGGCGGGTATGGGCAGGAGGGCGGGGAGGATAACGAGGAAGAAGGATGATGGAGAGGAGGTTGAGGGACAGAGGGTTGAAGTCAGGGGCTGAGGCAGATAGTGGAGGGGAGGATCTAGAGGAGGCGGGGAGGAGAAGAAGTAAGAAGTCGAAAGGGCATTGGTTAGAGTGAACAAGGCAAATATTAGGAGTTGGTTTCGGAGGATGTGGATTATGGTGCGCTGTTGGATGAGGGAGTTGAGGAAGAGATGAAGACGATGAGGAGAGGAGGGGAGGAGAAGGGAAGGGATGCGCAGGAGGTGCCGAAGAAGGGGAATAAGGGGGAGACGAAACATCTCCAGCAGGACCCAGAGTTTGAGAGGATCATGGGAAGCATGAGTTGGGGACGAGAAGGATTAGGGCTCGCTCACGTTCGCCTCGAATCTCCTCCTTCCTCTTTGCCTCATCTCCCCCGTCACTCCTCGGCGATGGTCCCGCCGGGACCGCTGCCGACAGCTTGCGGCGTGCCTCTCGCGCTCGAGCTGCTCCGTTTTATATCGGCGCCGCCGTGCGGCTCGACGCCAGCGAGCCCCGTGCCGGCTGGGAGCTGGAAGTCGTGTTAGCCACTCTTCACGGCTGGAAGGGCATGTCCTCCTCCTCCTCCTCCTCCTCCTCCTCCTCCTGGGGGCTGCTTTTAAGGCACCCCGGGCCCAAGGTGCCCCCAGCGTTTCGCGCCATGGAGCCCCCGGCCAGACGCCTCCACGGTCTCCAGCTATCACCGCCCACCAAACCACCCCAACCCAACCCGAAGGCCCCGATTCGCCCTCCATTTCCAGTGGGGGGGGGATCGGGGAACGTTGAGGAAACACATATGGATCCCGTACCCCCCCCCAACCCGAAATTCGGGTCTTCGGGTTGGGTTGGGGTGGTTTGGTAGGTAGTCAAGCTAGCTGGCTGCCCAAGATGCACCCGGCGAAAGGTGGCCCTGGCCAAAGGTGCCCATGGAGCCCCCGGGGCCCCTCTGTGCCTCGTAGTGGTTGCTCTGGAGGCCGCCTGAGCTCGCCCGAGAAGCCTGGCACCTCGGGCCAGGGGCACGTCTAGCAGCACCCGACATGCAGTTCGTCATGTTCGCCAGCCTGGTCCAGGGCCAGTCGCCTGGACCTCCGACGTCCGCGTCTGGCTGTTCAAGGCGCGGGCCGCTGTTGCCTCTCGGCACCCAGCCCCGCGTGTGCGCGCGTCGTGCTTTGATCCGCCGCCTCCCCCCCCCCCGTTCCCCCTGGGGCCCTCCACAGAGGCCCAGGCACGCGCAGAGAAGCTAGCGGAGTGAAGGCGGAATAGAATCAGGAGGGGAAAAACACACACAGACACAATGAATCGTCGATCCCCCAGAAAATATCGGGAAATACGGGAAGTGGGGGAGAAGACAAACACCCAGAAAATATTGGGAAATATGGGGGGAACGTTTTATTGGTGTGTATGTATTAGTGTGTCCCAGGGCCCCTTCATAGCAGTAGGGATGGAAGGGCAATGGAGAGAGCGGAAGGAGGAGTGTGCGAGGGGGCGGACCGATCGTGGGTCAGAACGTACGCCCAGCAAGGGCGAGGGGTGCCCGTGCTCCGCGGCGGGCGGTCGCGATACACCGCTCCAGCTTCGGCAGTTCGTTCCCGCGTTGGTGACAAGCTTGCGAGCCTCGTGCGCCCCCGCATCAGGATCTCGAAATATATGCTCGCTTGAGCGGTCCCGCCTTTACGATCCGGAGCATCGCTTGACAAGGTGCATGGCGCGAAGCGCGAATGCAGTCTCCTATTGGTATACAGCTGTTCGATGAGAACCAACGCTGGCAGGTGCAAACCATGTGGTACAGGCAACTATGGACAATCTAACAGATGCATGCTGCGGTGCCAGCTATGTGATGTGGTGCACTATGGGTTGTGCAATGTGTGTGTTGCGATTCATAAACATATATATATATATATGTTTCAAGTGCGTTTTAAGTACATGCTCCGCGTGCGGGCCATGTCTTAAACATGCAGGGATTTAGTATTAAAACCAACGATGACTTCATGTATACATTCATTCATCAATTAACCATGTATTAAGAATCATATATATACATATATTCAATCCTATGTATTAGAAACTGCCCTGTATATACATAGGTGTACAATTATCTACAGACATGTGCTAATCATGTACGTGCTCCGCAGAGCTTCCACTTAGAGGTCCTCCTTCCTTCAAGGGGGCTGGGCATGTGGTCGTCGCCCCGGCCGGCCCGAGGCCGCCCCGCTGCCGCCCCGGCGCCGCTCGTGCCCGCGTCCGTCGCTGGCTCGGCGCCGCCCGCTGCACCACACAGCTTGCGCCGCACACGCTGCACCACTTGCGTTCAAGCAGTGGCGAAGCGTCCCGGCTCTCCCATAGCCCCACCAAACAATGTTCGAAGACACTTTTGTAGTTCCCACGAAATGTTCTTAGAACATGTTTGGCGGAGTCTGTCCTGTTTGAACACATCGGGCTTATGTTCTAAGAACTTTGTTTTTGTTTTGGAGGATTTTTAGGTTCTAGGAACATTTCGTGGAAGGACTACAGGAATGCCGGGACGGTCGACCACGGGTCAACATTGCACCACGTGCGTTCTCCTGTCTCCAAAGGAGATAGAGGGTCTACCACCCTCCCCCCGCCCAGGGATAAAGACCCCCCCCTCCCCCCCTCTACCACCCTCCCCCGTCGCCGCTCGTGCCCGCCCGCCGCTGGCTCGTCGCCGCCCGCTGCACTACGCAGCTTGCGCCGCGCACACTGCACCACTTGCGTTCCCCTGTCAACAAAGGAGATAGGTTCTACCACTCAAGCAGTGGTGGAGCGTCCCGGCTCGCCTATAGCCGTACCAAACAATGTTCAAAGAACTGTTTGTGGTTCCCACGAAATGTTCTTAGAACATTTCTGGCGGAGTCTGTCCTGCTTTCACACATTTCTAAGAACATTATAAGAACATTTCGTGGTAGGACTATAGGAATGCCGGGACGGTCGGTCCCTGCTCAAACCACCTTCCCCCCCACCCCGGGGTTACAGACCCCCCTTTTCGTATTGCAATTTGCATACGGTTCGGCTCCACCGTCCGTCCCAAGTGTGAGCGCATACTGTCCGAGCCGGGCTGGTGTCGGTTCCCCGTCGGTTCCCAGAAATACTATGCGCGCGCATTCGTTTATCAAACATTTTTAGTTTTCAAGAATCCCTTGCAAATATAAATGGGACGAAGTGCGCACGCGCGCGTCGTCGCGCGCGCATGCCGAAATCCTTCAAACACCTTCGGTTTCGGAAGGATGTCAAAATCGAGTGTACAAAACACATACGAAAACGCAGGACTTCGCAACACGGATCTCCACTACAGAAACTTGCGCGCGCGCTCTTGCGAATTCCTTTGAAAACTATTTGTAGTTTTCCATAATTCTCAGAAGATGCTACCAAACGGGTTTCGCGAGCGCGCGCATGTCGAAATCGTTCGAGCGCCCTTGCGCGCGTCTGGGGGGGCACGACCTGTGTCAAATAACACCATGCGGGCCACTCTCGCGCGTGTGCCGCGCGCGGATTTCAAACTCTTTCCAAAACCTTCATCACGGACGCGACGACGCCGTCATCGTAGCCGGCGTGATCAGCATCGGTGCCGTCATTGGCTGCCCCGTCGACGCTGTCAGCATCGTCACCATCATCGCTGCTATCATCTTCGTGTCTAACGCTGCCGACGTGGCCATGATACCGCGCCCGCCCAAGTCGCCGACTCGCACTGAAGTGCCCGCTGGGATGTGCCGAGCGGTCAGCGCCACTGCGTTCGAGTCGGTCGCGCCAAACTAGCTGGCCACTGCGCGCGCGAGCATGCGCGGGCTTGCGCGGCCGCAGAGGTGCTCCAGCCAACACCAAGCACTCATCGCAATCGCCGCCGCACGGGTTTTGCACACCAAGTTGTGGTTGGGTGGGTGGGATGTTTGTGCGAGCAGTGGAGTGGACAACGCATTGCGAACAACACTTTGTTGTACCATATAGATTGCACCATACAGCCTGCACAACATCGACCAAATCACGTAGCTCGCACCACGTGCATAGTGCACCACATATTCTACAGCACATAGGTTGCACCACATATATTGCACCACAAGAATTGCACCACATGCATTGCCCGACACAGGTTGCACCCCCTAGATGGCACCACGTAGCTACATCACATGGGTGCACCCCGTAACTAACACCACCTGGGTGCAGCACGTAGCTTACACCACATAGCTATCCTCACATAGATTGCACCGCGCAGTGTGCATTACACACCGTGCACCACACACACACACATCGAACAACATGCGTTGCACCACATGGTATGCTAGAGCTCACTGCCTGGGGCCACGCTGGCAAACACACAGGTGGTTCGCCCTAGTTGGCGCAAGCGAAGCGGAGCAATACCTGAGTGGTGCAGGCCGCGATGCGGGCTCCACGACGGCCTCCCCGTGAACGCCCACGGGCGGCCACCGGGCCAAACCTCGGCGCACCCAGCCAGCACACGGGGCCTCCACGAGGCGGCCACGGGCGGCAACCGCCGATCTGCACACACACACACATATGTATATGTAGATAGCAGTTATAATACAAACTATTACGTACATAAATACATACCTACCTATCGACCTACCTACCTACCTACATACATACATACATACATACGTACGTATACAAACATTTCTATAAGAACGTGCTTTGAAGCGCGAAGTCGGAGGTCTGGGCAGCTCTTGCGCTCGAAGTAGCCCTCCTCGGTCGGCCCCGTCGGCCCCGCCGCACGGGCGGGATCGCGCTCGCGGCCCGCGCCGTCAGGACATCAGCCACTTCCGGAACCTGGTGGAGGCGAGCGCGTCCCTGTTCCTCCCCCTCTTCCTCAAACTCCCCCTCGCGTTCCTGTTTCCTTCTCCTCCACCTACTCCTCCTCTTGCCTCCCTCTCTTCCTCTGCGCGCTCCCGGGAGAAGTTTGAAAGTTCCTGGAGGTCTTGTGGGGGCGCCACGAAGGAAGAGGTGGAGTTGGAGAAGGTAGAGCGCAGCGTGCCCGCTGCCTTCCCCCCGTACATCTCTTCCTACCTCTCCTCCCCTTCTCGTATTGGTGTCGTGCACCGCCCTGGCACTGCTCCTGGCGTCGGCGTCGTGCACACCCCCGTATCGGCGTCGTGCACATCCCCTCCCCTTCCCGTATCGGCGTCGCGCATACTTTTTAGTCAACGGCCGCGGGCGAAGGCGCCGGCGGCGTGTCAAGTCAGAGCGGGGCGCGCAACGACTGATTGGCCAAGGAAACGCGGGAAAGGCGTCGCGGATACGTGAATCCTGAGCCTTGGGCCCCCTCCCCGTGTCTCCTTGAACCAGGACCTGTTCTGCCCACTTCGAAGCCCTGGCTTGGGCCCCCATGGGGGGGCACACCGGCAGACTGCGCGGCAAGTCCCCCGAAGCTGATGGGCCTGTTTTCCATCACCACCACCGTCAGAAGTTGGAGTGGGGAAGGAGGTGGACGAGGAGGACGAGGAGGAGGAGGAGGACGAGGAAGAGGAGGAGGTGGAGGAGAAGGGGGAGGTGGAGGAGGAGGAGGGGGAGGAGGAGGAGGAGGACCCCCTCCCACTCCAACTTCTGGTGGTGGTGGTGGAAAACAGGCCCATAGAAGCCCCGGTGCGCGCCGTTTCGTCTCCCGCCGTCGGCGGGGGACATCGGCCGCGGCCGCGCTCGCTCGAGGCTCCATGGGCCCGCCGCGCGGCGTCGAAAGCCAACGCCCAGGCCGCCACCACACGGACCTGCCGCACCCACCACCGTCGACAAAGGCTCCCTGCAAAGATCCGCTGGCTCGCTCTCTCGCCGGAGGAGGGGGAGGAGGAGGAGGAGGAGGAGGAGGAGGAGGAGGAGGAGGAGGGCCAGTTGGGACAGCGGCGGCGCTCCAGTCCAGCCCGAGTCCTGAGGCCCATCCTGACCCCCGAGGCGGATCCAGCTACGGCGTCGAGAGAAGCCTCCGGGAGGGTCTTGGAAGAGCTTAGAGCTCCAGGGAGGGCCGCGGGTGTCTCGACTGGCCCTCCTCCGATCCGGCCCGCCGGGAGAGCTTCGCGGAACTGCTCGCTCATTCTCCTCGGGGAAGCGCCACTTGCACACCTCCGCGGCGAGCCCAGAGGGGGAAGTCGGAGGGGGCGAGCCTTCTCAGAAGGCTCGGAAGGCCGCCTCCGGCCTTCTGAGAGGTTGTCCGAGCCTTCTCCGGAGACGTAGGTGGCTTCTCAGGAGGCCCGGGCAGCTTCTGCGGAGCTCCGCCGGCCTCTCAGAAGGCCTGCCCTCTCCCGCTTCCCCTGGGGTCGCCATGGCCAGGCTCGGTGCAGGTGTACAGTGTGCGCCCTCTTCTGCTCAGCGTGTCGCGCCGCGCCGGGTCTGGCCCATGACTCCTCGGCGAGACACGCCGAGCGCGTCCCGGCCCCCGAGCGCCACTCCTCCCAGCCGCCCGCCCCGCGGAGCGGAGCGCCACGCTGTCCGCTAGCAGGGCACAGCTCACGCGCGGCGAACGCATCCGTCTCCGCGCCCTCGCGGTCTGGACTCCGGGGCGCAATCCCGCAGACACGCGGTCACACTGATGATACGCTCCTTGCGGGGCATCCGCGGAGACACGCCCCATATCCGCGGGGTCGCGGCGCAGGGGCCTCAAACGCGAGGCCGCGGGTACGGATGTGGTACGTGTTCTGCCCACGAAGCGCGTCGCCCGGGCCGCCGCCGCGACACGCTGAGCCAAAGTTCCCGACCCTGTCTCCCTCCGGCTCGCTGGGGAAGATGAGAAGGAGGAGAGGAGGAGGAGGAGGAGGAGGAGGAGGAGGAGGAGGAGGAGGAGGAGGATCAGGAGGAAGAGGAGGAGGAGGACGAGGAGGAGGAAGAGGAGGAGGAGGAAGAGGAGGAGGAGGAGGATGACAAGGAGGAGGAGGAGGAGGATGGGAGGAGGAGAAGAGGAGGAGGAGGAGGAGGAGGGGGGAGCAGGACGAGGAGAAGGAGGAGGAGGGGGGCGTGGTGGAGGAGGAGGAGGAGGAGGAGGAGGAGGAGGAGGAGGCGCCCAGCCCCCCACCCGCCTGCCCAGCTCTGCTTCCCGTGCCCCCCGCTGGACGTGGTGCCGGGCCCGGTCGGCGGCGCGGGCGGCGAGGGCGAGCCCGCGGCCCAGGACCCCGCTGCGGGCCCAGCCCCCCTGCTCTCTTTGCCGGTATGATCTGCACGAACGAAATGGGTACGGAAAGCATGGGTACAATGCTCGACAGCAGGTGGCATATTCCAATGGGAAAATCGGTGGCGTATTTCTATGTGTGTGTATCTATTTGTGTGTCCTGGAGCCCCTTCCTCTACCCCCATCCGTTACTCCTGTCTCTTTTCTGGACGCCCGAAATGGGTACGGCAAGAATGGGTACAATGCTCGATAGCAGTTCCTGTTTATTTTGGACCGGACTCGCTGCCCACGTCGCCGCGGCCTGCGTCCATTCGAGACAGAAGGCCGCCTGCCCTACAGCGGCCGCTGTTGGTTTAGGACAGCATTTGTTGTTGGGCACTGTACCCATTGTATCCGTACCCATTTCGGGCGTCCAAATATGATGTCTAATATCACTGAGCGCGTTCCACTACTCGCAACGTGACTTAGAACCACAGGCCTGCTGTGGTGTGACTTCTCGTAGATCCCCCGCGGGGGATCCAGGCCATTTGCGAGTAGGCACTTTGCGCAGAGGGGGTGGGA